TCAACTGAAATTCCTCTCTAAGATTTATATACTCAATGCTATAGGACAAAGACAGTCAAACTTTTTCAGGCAGTGGAACCATTACTTAATGTACTGATATGTTCTCAAAACCTGACTGAAAGGTACAGCTCTTAGTGATAGAAAACTGGCTGATAAAAGTTCTACGGAACAGTTTGAAATACCCTATTCTAGATGGTAATTTCATGGCCACTAATGATATAATTAGTTTCAAAAAAATTATTTATATTTTTTTTTCAGAAAAGGAAATAAAACTGAACAATAATCTCATTTTTCTAACCTACTATTTAAGTGGCAGGTTGGTCATATTAAGCTGTTAAAGAATTAATATTCAAATTCCTCTTTAACCTTAGCTGATATAATACACAAAGAGGAAATATCTTGCACTCTTAAATGTAAGGGGGTAAATGAAACTGCCCAAGTCACATCACATGATGTCCCTGTAACCTATATAAGCACCAGAGATTTGCTATGGTCAGTGATAAGGGATCAATAATAATATCAGCTAAATGATATCTAAAGATCAAAATACTTCAGCTAAGCTCATACGTTTTTTCTTGCCAAGCTGTCCCAATCTCAACAAGATGGGATATCCTGGAATAGAAACATTTGGTTTATGAAAGGCAATAAGAAGAGCCACAATGATGTAGCATATATTATAGCACTTTTTTTCAGTGCCGTTGTAACTTTGAACAGTCATTAAATGAACTGTTGTAAATCGAGGACTACCTGTATTAAATCTAAAATGTCAAAATCCTCATATCATTAGAGAAACTTGGGAAAATATTGGCAAAAATGGTTGCTTGGAAGCCAAAACATTAAGCGAAAGAAATGGGGATAGCTTAATTTTCAAATATAATCATCATGTTTATGATACCCAAACCACAAAAGATAGCTGTAGCCTACTTGCAACACAGTTCATTATGCTTTGCCAATATGATTCTGTGACTATACATATCTGCTTATCCTAATTTTACAATTTCTGGGAGTTGGATATGTATGTTTTTATTACAGCATGTTCTCCATTATAAACAAATGCTAAAAACTGTGGTTTCCAACAAACCCCCTAACCTACTGCTGCCAGTACTAAAACAGTTCTTGCCATAGGTGGAAATGACTAGGCTATTGTTTATATCCTCATCTTGTATCTGTGCCAAACAGGTTTGTGTCAAAGTGCCTTCTAGAAAAGGGTCAAGGAGATTTGCAGTTATCCTGGCTCCATAAAATATGCAGCATATGTTGCCCAAACCTGTGCCTTTTGCCAAAATATAAAATATAAGCACCTTGTTGAAGGTATTATTCACAGATTTCTGTATTTTATTTGGCTTTTCATTTATGCTCCATTTGCTGACATGCCAAGTAAATGGAATCCTTCGCTCCCAAGGAGCACTAGTTTCAGTTAAGGAGTTAAGCCACCAAGGCAAGTAAAAGTATTTAACAACTACTAGACAACCCGTGGTGACCTGTTGGGTTTACATTTCAGAGATATTTTTTTTTACCTTAACAGAGAAACAGAACCACTGGTAAAAAGAATTATGGGAATGGGAGCAACTTTCAAGTTCCTGCTGGCTTCCATATGGACCTTCCTTGTGCGAAGCTTGCCCCTGGGAATAAGGGTCATGTAACTTCAGCAGCATCCTGATTGTGAAGTGGCCACAACTTTGCCAAACTTCAATCCCACAGGAGTTCTGGGTCCCAGATTTCGGATTAATTCTGTGTAAATTAGCCTCTTGGAGGTTCCCTGGTTCAAATATTGTTGCCCTACGATTTATTTTCAAATCTACAATAGGGAAGTGCAACACTGAAATATTCAATACAAATTAAAATATATATCATATTAGCTCATCCCCACCCAAGAAATACTTCACTTCTCAGCTTCATCTTCCATTCACGAGATGGAGCTTTTTTTTCCAACGCAGTAGTTCCAGTTATTCCATATTTCTTACTTTGGTGGTAGGGAGAGGGGAGAGAAAGAGAGAAGTAACAAGAGGAAGATAGGGTGCTGCTAAGCCACTGTAGAGCCAGGATTTTTAAGTTTTCTTCTATGAGGTCTTTTCAGTTTCCCATTCTAAGAAAAACTAGGGCAGCCAGCCTAAAAATGCTATTCTATGCCTATCCAGACATCATGTACCCAAGTCGCTATGTCCAGAAGCTCTCTGAGAAATGCTGCAAGTTGCAGCCTAAACACACTTGCCATTGAGCAGCTACAAGCATTGTGAACACTGAACAGTCTAATGACAACACGACCTAATATCATTTCAGGGCCAGAACCCATTTTGTCTCACTTCGGTTGGGCACATACACTATAGTACTGATTTTAATTTTCGTGTTCATTTAATTTCATGTTTGTGTGTTGCCTTCAAATCAGTGTTTGTCTCCTGGCAGCTGCCATAACTACTGTAGTTCTTGCAGTTTGCTTGGCAAGGCTTTTCAGAAATGGTTTGCCCTTGCCTCCTTTTTTGTTGTTGTTAGTTGTGAAGTCGTGTGTCCGACCCATCGCAACCCCATGGACAACGTTCCTCCAGGCCTTCCTGTCCTCTACCATCTTCTGGAGTCCATTTAAGCCAGTGGTTCTCAGCCTGTGGGTCGGGACCCCATTTGGGGTCGAACAACCATTTCACGGGGGTTGCCAAACAACGCAGTCCGCCATTTTTTCCCCCTTTTCCTTAGCTGTGCTACTCCCTTTTATTCTATTGGCTTTTGAAAGCCAATAGAATAGATTCTCTTGAATAGAGTTTAATTCTATTGGCTTTCAAAAGCCATTAGGAATTGTCCAGGCTGTCTCTGCCCTGCTGAGCCCGCCAAAAGTCCCATTCTGCAAACGGTGCTGCACCAGTTGAGTAATCCTCGACTTACAACTGGTTGAGTAGTCCTCAACTTATGACCGGTTGGGGGTCGCAGCATTAAAAAGGTTGAGAACCACTGATTTAAGCTAACTACTCTTCACTGAATTAGCCCAGTTACCCAGAATCATACAGCCATAAATGTACCACACACAAGTCACAAACTAATGATCTGCGTTTCAGCTTAGCAAACTCGGTCTTGCTGTTTTCAGCCATGGTTTTTTTTTATTTTTACGCTTTTTCTAGGTTGGGCTCACAGCTGTGTGGCAGCTGCAAATTATAAACAGATTGCAGGTGCAAGGAATATTGAAATAGTCTAAACTATTCTGAAATAGTCCATCTTTGTCATGCTCGGCCATAAACCGGCAAAGGCATTTATGTCAGAGTTGCTCTTTCCCTCTGGCTCTACCCCCGCCCCCACCCCATTTCCACAAAACTGAATTAGCAACAGCTACATCCTCTCCACGGATGTTCATTTTAAACCTTCACCATCAACCCTTACATTAAGAAAAATAAGGGGGGGGGGAGAGCGTGAGTCACTTCTCGTTTCCAGAATGCAAGAGATGCTTTCTTTTCGGCGAGAGGAGCAACTATTTAGAGAAAATCCATTTCCTAATCTTTCAGAAGCGTTTTCTTATTCTCCCTCCCCCACGTCTCGCCAACAATTCAAGAAAGGTATAAGGAGAGGCCGGCAGCGAGCGAGCGAGTGAATGAACGAAGGCTGAAGGTTACCGGATTTATGAATGTCAGGATCATGTGACAACAACGGGAACCTGTCTTATTCACAAAAAAGGGGCAGAAAAGAACCCAGCCATATGCAGCCGTAGAGAGCATAAAGAGCTTCGCCCGAGTCAGAGAGCGAGAGGCAGTTATAGCCCTTGCGGGTAAGCCGGGTCACCTTTTACCACCAGTAGCCCGGGGAGCCGCACCCCACCGCCCAGGCAATTTTAAAGAACGCCGTGCCTTAAAGGAGAGGTGCGGTAGCGGGGAGATTTAAGTGTAGTCTGGAAGCACTTTGAGAGGGATTGGGTTGGAAGTTAACAAACTTTTACGGGCAAAGACGACCGCTAATGGTTTCGCTCGCTGTCTCCTCAGCCGCCCACTTCCATTTCTTTAGTTTACACTCTCACACAAGAGACGGTCCCGACCGGCTGCAAGGCTAACAATGAGCTGAAAGCAGCGAGGCGGCCGTGCCTAAAATGTTATTTCCCCCCCCCTTCTTCCCCCCCCAGGGCAGCTTCAGAGTCAGCCAAGGCCCAGGCAGGCAAGCACCGTGGCGATCCGCTCTCCCCCCCCCGCCACCGCGTGGGAGGTGTGTGTGTGTGTGTCTGTGTGTGTCTGTGTGTGTGTCTGTGTCTGTGTAGGAAAAAGGAGACCCGAAGCCTCCCTCCCCCCATCTGGCAGCCCGAAGTCGCCTTGCAACAGCGATCAAACCTTTCCTCCTCCCCCCCCCTCCTCCTCTCGAGATGGCTCTCTCCCACGGTCCGAGCAGACTCCTGGCCTCGAATGGTGTTTTTTATGAATGGAAATGTGGTATGCAAATGAGAGCAAGTCAAGAAAAAAAAAAGAGAGAAAGAAATGGCGGATGTGAATGCTGCAAAAAAAAAAAAAAAAAAAAGCTAGGCAGGGGAGAAGTGAAAGGTGGGAGGGGGCGCAAGGGGTGGCCGAGAAAGCGGGGGACTGGCATGAATAGTGACCCTCAAGCTTTACAGAGCGAGCAGCGTGAAGAGGAACGCAGAGAAGAAAGGAGGGAAAGCCCGTCTTAGACGGATCCCGAAGAAAAAGTCCATCCAATACTTCTCTACTCCTTCTCGCCCCCCTTTGCCAGAAAGGAGCTCGGTAACATTTCCCTCTCCAAACACAGGCAGGCTGCAGAACTGGGGCGCTGCACGCCCTGCGCCAACCTTTCCAGCAACGCCGAGAAGGTGGGCGCTGGGAAGCCAAGGGCTCCCGGCAAGGCGACCCAGACGTGGGATAACCGCAAAGCTTGCACTTCTTTGGCGATCGCCCCGGAGACCGGGGGCGACACGGCTACAAGAGGAAAAGCTCGCCACGACCACACCGAGCCCCTCCCCTCGCCAGATGTTTACAAGCATGCTCCCCCTCCCCTCCCCCCCCTTCTGCTCGTCGGACACTTACTCGTCTGGATGGGTTTCCTCGGTCATTTTCTCCTTCTCATAGACTTATCCCCCGCCGCGGGCAGCCGGGCTGCACCTCTTCATTTTTTATTTTTTTTCCCCCCTTCAGTTTCACATCGAGGGCAAAGAGAGAGAAAGAGAGCGGCCGACCGAGCTCGAAGGATGCGGGGAGAGACCGCCTCGGCTCCGCTGGAAAGCGGGCGGGCGGGCGGAGGGGGGAAGGGGGCAGGGATGGGGAGGGAAAAGGAAGGAAGCCAGGCAGTTTGCTAAGGCCTCGTTGGCTGCCAAGCGCAGGGCTGCGCGCGAGAGAGAGACGAGACCTGCGGCGGAAGGGCGCTCAGCGCGCGGGAAGGCAGCGGGGCGCCGCGTCGGCCAACGCGCCCGGATGGTGCTGCAGCCGGCGGCCGCGTCCGAGCCCCATCGCTGTCTCTTTACTCCATGTTGGATTCTTAGCGCCACCGCCAACAGGAGGAGGAAGCTGGGCGGAAGCGATGACGTTATCCGAGCAGCCCAGCTGCTTTCGGGGAGGGAGAAAGACAGGCGGGCAAGGCGCCAGCTCGCTTCCCTCCCTCAAGATGGTTGGGAGCGAAGAGCCAGCGTCCAGGCGCAGGAGGAAGCGGAGACCGCTCCGCCCGGGGCTTGCAAAAACCGTCGCGGTCCGCCGCTCTTGCCCCGAGGGCCTCCCAAACCGCCGCTGGGATCTCTTGCGCCAGGGATGCGTCCGGCTGTCGTTCGGCCCCTTTTCCAGCCCTTCAGCCGTGCGGCCGGCGGCCTCGTCGTCTTGGCCGGGCGGCGGGTGCTGGAACGAAGGTTGAAGGCTCGCGTTAGGCTGCAGGGGTCCGCGGGACCCGCGCGACGGGCGGCCCGGAGTCCGAGAAAGCGCTTTTGAGCGCGTGCGGGAGGGGTGTGTTTGCGTGTTTTGAATGGCAGAAGACGCGTTCCACGTGGCTCCTGAGCAGAAGTCGAGCAAACATTAGGCGCTCAGTCACACCTTCCTCCCCTTAATCAGAAATAACATGGCTTACTTCCACGCTCTCTAACCAACGTTGCTAGAGAAATAGAGGCAGAATTACTCGACTCAAGTTTAAAATCGGACTCCGGAGACTCGAGCGATCTAAGTGCAGGGATACAGTTTCTTTCACGTTTGCCAAAACTTCAACTGGCTTCCTTTCCGTGAGCCCACTGATAATGGGACGCTGGATTTCAGTGGCAATGACAAAATGGAAAAGTAACCTTCGCTATGATGCCATAGGTTTAGTTGAAACTGCTGTCTGACCAGAAATCAAAGTATTTCCCCTAACTTACTCACCTGGGTTTCCCCAAATTGCTGGATCATCTCCCATCTCCTACAATCTCAAGCAAACAGGCTAAAGAATAGGGGCATTTTAAGGATGTCATATTGGAGGAAGCAGCACTGGCAGCTCAGCAGAACTGTTTTATTAGCTTGATGGATTCTCCTTGGGGAGTTCCAGAGATAAAATATTTCCTTTCAAACCCAAACAAAACTGTACTATTAATATTCTTCATATGCACATATAGATTGTCCTCAATAAAGACTTTATTCTTCAAGCCAGGATTAATACTCATTGACAATAAGACATGCACATTGTGGAAATCTACATGAATGGTTGAACTAATGTCCGAAACCTGAAGAACAGATTTTCCAACTTCAAATTGCTTTGTACAAGGTAGAAAATTATAGAGAAAAGAGATCAGTGTAACTTTTTCCCCACACATCTTCAGTTTCACATTTCTTCTGATGTGTTTCTTTTGAAAAGGAGGAGGATTTATGAGGATAAGGAGAAGCAAATCAAGAGTATTTAACATCAATGAACTTGTGATTAAAAAAAAAAAAACCTTGGAAGGAGTTAATGACAAGAATTAAAGCAATGCCAGAAATGTCTAGCATTGGATTAAAAAAAACCAAAAATGTTACTTCAATATCCAGGTCTTATAGCAGCAATTTTAGTCTCCTCAATTGATGAAAGCAAATAAATGACTTCAGTTGAAAAGTTAAAGTGTAAACATATTCCCTAAGTAGATTCACAAAATTTAGCAAGTTTAACAAAATTCTCTAGCAAGATTGTTTCCTTTACTTTGCAATGGGTGATGCATTTCATCTTTTAAAATTACCAGGATTTTTGTTATTTACATAGTGATTTGGGGGGGGGGTGAGCCATTGTTCCAATGTTGCTAAATAAATGTCATAAATGAAACTAAAACAGGCAGTAGGGTCAAGTGTTTCATAATAATCACTAATGTCATAGAAGCTTTTAATTACCATCTTCACTACTTAAATGGATGTATTGTTTCTTGTTCCTTTAAGTCAAGCTGACATAAAGAGACTTCCCCAAAGGAGTGATCTATACAGAATCTCATACAGACTGATAAAGCCGGATTGCTATGCATTTTAAGTAAATACCACGCATAGTTATTATCATATAATAGGCAATTTTCTAAACTTCACATGAATGTACAGGTAGTCCTCGACTTAGGAACACAATTGGGCTCAAAATTTCTGTTGCTAAGTGAGACATTTGTTGAGTGAATTTTGTCCCATTCTATGACCTTTCTTGTCACAGTTGTTAAGTGAATCACTGTAGTTAAATTAATTGTATTGTTAAGTGAACCTGGTTTTCCCATTGACTTTGCTTATCAGAAGGTCGCAAAAGGTGATCACATGACCCCGGGATACTGCAACAGTCATAAATGTGAATCAGTTGATAAGCATCTGAATTTTGATCACATGACCATGGGGATGTTGCAACGGTTGTAAGTGTGAAAAACGGTCCTAAGTCACTTTTTTCGGTGCTGCTGTAACTTTGAATGGTCACTAAATGAACTGTTGTAAGTCAAGGACTAGCTGTAGAGTGGTGCCTCCTATAACTAGGGTTAGTTATGGGCAATGACTTTAAGGCATAAACAGCGTATCTTGCCCGTGTGCTTATAAAAAAAATGATAAAAAATGTATGATGTGCTTTAATAAGCAGGGGTTTTCCTGATGTAGTTCCTTTATAAGAGCAGAGTTGCTTAATTTATAAGACAACATTGCTTCAGATTTGTCCTCTGAATAAGATCTGATGGTAGTTAATGAAATTAATGGGGCTCCAGACACTCTAGTATACAGTAATTTAGGGGAAAAAAAAAACCCCTGCCCACTGCAATTACAAGGAGTGTCACAGATACCACTGCTATGACTCCTAAGTGCTTTGTTTGAAGCCTGATAACCACTTCCTCTTGCTTACTTTGTTTCTCATCACAAGATATGGCTATTCATACAGGAAAGGCTCCCGACAAAAAGCTATAATTTCCAGATAAAGCTGAAGCCTGACATCTTGCAGGAGAGAAAAAGGAGGACGGAAATACACTACAAAGCAGAACAGGATTTGTCCGATTGCTACCTAACCCTTTTCTTTTCACTTGGCTGTTTTGAGAATTTCTCTGGTTAGAGTTTTGAAAGATGACTAGCCCCCAATTAATAGTGTTGATGCTGTACGAATCCAGTCATTAATAAAACAATAATGTTGCTTATGACAAAAAACAAAAAGATTCACCTTGTGCTCAGTGTAAAATTGTAACTTGTTTTTTGAATTTATTATACTCGGATACAGTGCTTTTTTTCTTTAAAAAAAAAGGTGCCGGAACTCACACACTTTATACAACCCGCCTTGCCTATCCTACAAGGTTCCATCCAAAAAAGGTGCCGGAACTCTGGTCTGGGCGTTCTATGAGAAAAAAATCCCTGCTTGGATATATACTGTACTAAGAAAGTTTTTCCTCTATATCTGAGTAGAATAAATATAAGAACAAGTTACAGTTTTACATTGATTACAATACGAATTAACCTTTTTGTTTATTTACTTTAAAATGGTGAGGATGTCTTAGTTTCACAGTGAATATAATAATGGAACAAATAACATCTATGTAATCTTCATTTGTGGGGGGTTATGATTTACTCAATATACAATATACATGCACTATACACACAACAGGTATGAAGTGCAACAAATGTCAGATAATACAGTATGGCATATTGGCATAAACTAGTATTACAGAAAATAGAGCGATGTGTGATGAAAATCTATGGGTGAAACTTAAAGGATATGGAATCTAGAAAAGTCCTAAACCCAAAGTAAAAATAATGATCAGTTTTACAATTTATGTATTTATTTATAACATTTATATAGCTGTCTATCATTACAGCCAGCTCTGGGTGGCTCCCAATTAAAAATTAAAAGACAGATAAAATCATATGGTATGTGTAATTTGCCATCTTAATTACCAAATTAACAATTAGGTAAATTAGTAGCTGCAAGCAAATTAATATTTGATTTATTTATTTGAATAATTTATATTCCATCTGGTTCCGCAATTTCTGGGACAGAGTTTTATAAATGATAAACATAAAAATATGTTGAGATAGATCCAAACTCTGACCTCCTAATATACTTTGACATCGTAACTTTATGTACATCCCAAGTATACGTTGCTATTCTATATCCACCTCCTAGTTGATGGGATGTGTACATACTGATGGAGATATTAAGAGCTATATTAAGAACTGCCCAAATATCGATATGTTAAGGAAAACTTTATAAACCCCAACCTCCCAGAAAGTCATAATACAGGTATTCCTCGACTTAACGACCACAATTGAGCCCAAAATTTCTGTTGCTAAGTGAGACATTTGTTAAGTGAGTTTTCTTCCATTTTACGACCTTTCTTAAGATAAGATAAGATAAGATAAGATAAGATAAGATAACCTTTATTGTCATTTTTTGACTGGGGGCACAACGGCATCCATCAAAAATGAAATTTAGTTGCCCGCTCTCAAAGTGAAACACATACGTGATACACACCTAAACATACTATGTACAACATATGTATAAACCCACATCTCTACATATACATAACAAATAAATATTAAATATTGTCCATCTTGAATATATAATGGAAGGAGGAAGCTTGAGAGTTCACAAGGTTAATGCTGTATGGAATGAAACTATGGCTGAATCTGGATGTTCTGCTGCAGATACCACGGAGCCTTCTCCCAGAAGGTAAGAAGGAAAACAGGTCGTGAAGAGAATGTGTAGTGTCCCAGATAATCTTACGGACACTGCTCAAGCAATGCTTATGTGCTATGTCCTGGATGGGAGGAAGGGAACTGCCAATGATCTTTTTGGCCATCCTCACCACTGTCTGCACCGCCTTCCTGTCTAAAGCAGTGATGCTTCCAAACCAGACTGTGATGCTGTATGACAGGATGCTCTTGATCGTCCCCCCCCCCCTCGGTCAGGATAGGGGAAGGAAGATGTGCTTTTCTCATACGATGCAGAAAATGCAGGCGCTGCTGAGCCCGCTTCACCAGTTTCTCACTGTTGAGCGACCAAGCCAGCCTACTCGTTAGCTGCACAGTTGTTAAGTGAACCGCTGCAGTTGTTAAGTTAGTAACACGGCTGTTGAGTGAATCTGGCATCCGTACTGATTTTGCTTGTCCAAAGGGCACAGAAGGTGATCACGTGACCCTGCAACCATCACAAATATAAGTCAGTTGCCATGCGTTTTAATTTTGATCACATGACCATGGGGATGCCGCCATGATAGTTAACTATGAAAACTGGTCATGAGTCACTTTTCTCCAGTGCCATTGTAACTTTGAAGGGTTCCGAAATGAACTGTTGTAAGTTGAGGACTTTTGCCCATACAAAAGAAATCAAGGATGATAAGGCAATATATGTGATGTGGTGGGATGAAATACTGGCTTACAGAGAAATCTCTAGAGATTGTAGCCTGCACAAAAAACAACTTTCTGGAGAAAAACTGAACTTCGGTTGCTCTTATGGCACATGGGGAAAATATGTCAGAACTGATTGGCACGATACTTAAAGTTAGCTGGGACTACTGCAGGTGGATCTATTATGACTCAGGCCAGTATTTTTAAACTCAGATAGAAACAAGATACACTAAACCATACATAAGAATCCCTACAGACAGAAAACCGCATATTTTTATTTTTAAATAACACATCAACTCATTAAAATCAGAAAGGAACTAGATATGACTAATACGTAAAAATAAATGTATTATTATTATGAAATTGACTATTTTCAAAATGTATGTACATTCATATATTATATAAGTGCATAGCAATCAAGAAGAAACTAGTAGATAAAAAGAATACAAATGTATGTTTTAATATGTTTTCAACAGTTTCAGAATCATTGCAAAAGGTATCATTATAAGAATATTCAAAATTAATATTCTTTGCTAGAAAGTTGACATCTTTTCCCATAAATTATTTTATCAGAAGAATTATAAAGAAAGAATTTATATCCCCTGGCTGCCCTCTTTTATTTTCTCCCCTTATTCTTGTCTTCTTTTCTGGATGAATTCTAAACTTATTTGAAATTGAGTTAAAAATTGAATTTATTATAACATTAGTAATGATCACTGACCTTGTGCAGCCAAAGGTCAACAGATATTAATTAAACCAAGGGTCCCCAACCCCCAGTCTGTGAACCAGTACCAGGCCGCAGCATGCCAGCAATCGGTCCGCACAAACAAGGAAAGCCCCATCCACAAAATGCAGGCAGCACACAAAACCACGCGCCCCCCCAGTCCATGTAACTGGTCCCTGGTGCCCAAAAGGTGGGGGACCTCTGAATTAAACTTTTTCTGAAGGAAGGAGGGAAATAAATTTAACCTACTTTAGAGGGAAGGACTTCTTTGTTGCACTGGAGATTCTGGAGTCTCAAGCAGGTGGGCTACGCCTAGAAGGCCACCTGCCTGCTGAGTGGAAAAAGGTACAAGTTTTCTGCGTCAGCTTAATTGCAGCACCCTGGGGTGCTTAGGGTAGTTGGTGCTGCTGCAGCGCAGACTAAGAAGCAGCTCTTACATGATGCTCCTGCTCAGTCTGTAGCTAGTAGTGCCTGGTGACCTGCCCTGCACTGCTGTGGCTAGGCCAAGACAGCAAACTTGTCCAGAACTCTTTGTGAGTCACAAGCTCAGGGGTTTGTTTTTGTTTTTTTGATGATTGGTGGACATTATTCTTTAGTTTAAAAATGTAATATTAACTATTTTTAGTTTGTGAAATATTTCCCATATGCATTTAAATTGCTTCAGGCCACCCTTGGGTTATCATGGATTATATGCAGCCTTGGGCCATGTGTTTGATACCGCTGGCCTACACCTTCTCTGTATTGCT